GCCACTAATACCACTGATGTAAGGCAATCTATTAGTTATTATACAATCGATTTAAGCAACAAAATCAGGTCTCAGCAAAGCTGCATGATTTACGCTCATCTTCTGATCGACTTATTTTGTAGCACGTAAAAGCTGAGCTCTTTCCTTTATCTCATGCGTACGCTTTTCTCACCGCAAAGCGTGCTAAACAGTGAAGTGCTGTTTATACATGCAGACTCGTTTCACTCGCTTCCCCGTTAGTCAGCGCGTTAACCCACCAATCAGAACAGACGATTCACGCAAACTATTTACGTTGTCTCTGTGTGCCCGCCGCCATACTCACCGAGGGACTTGTCAACTTCGAATTCCTCACTTTCAGTAAGCATGCTTCCGCTTTTCAACGAAGGCCGCAATTTATATATTATTCCATTGTCTATCGCTGCCGTCAGACATACCATGTCAAACATGTCGCAAGTTACCTGCCGACGGCTGGTTTTGGAAGTATGATAAGCATTTAATTAACTGTAAGACTACTACGACGTTGAGCTTAACGAAAACTTTTTGCTATGCCTTATCCTGTACTATTCTTATAATTGGGGGCAGTCTTTCCACATTCAGCCCGTCACATCCGCTACTCAGGGCACTGCTCAGTCAGTATATTCACTGTTACACGTCCACGCGTTTAATGAGAATTTGGGACGACCGTTTGTCAGCCGTAGTCGATTCCTTCCAAACAGGTAGTTTTGCCTATAGGCAAATTCTACTAGAATAATATGACCCGCAAGCTATTAAATACAACACAAGATCAGGCGTAAAAAGTCGAGGTGAACGAATTTATTCTAATACTTAATAAAGAGCCACAAGGACTTTCATCACTTAACCTGTTTCTCTAGCAATGTAAATTCGTTACTTCTTTACATTTATATATATACTTATAGCCGGTAAACTCGGTGATAAGTACATCCTTACAAACGACACCACGGTGTTTATGCTCGGTATGTGGTCCAGTGACAAAGGGCCAGTGAGATTTACAACACAATAGTATATATAACCGAATTTTGTACCATTTCAAAGCGTTATTAATTCTTATCTATCGAAAAGCCGACTGGTTAAAAAAGGTAGGACAACACACAAAAATAGGACGTTTTTCCAAAAGCACTGACATGCAGAGAGACTCGAATCAGACATAACTTGAAAAGTGCAAGGCCACGATATTCAGGAGTCGTTGCTGCTGCTGCTGTGGTAGAAGAGGGGATACGTTAACAAGAAAGTACCAGGTGACAATGTGCACTGAGGTTCCCATCTGAATATAATACACCCAGTACGTACGCCTTAAAAGGCTTACTGTAAATATTTTATTTACAAATCCGCAGTTAATCGTATAGGGCAATAACTATCCTATAACGAAAGGACCGAAGGTAGCCGGTCCGATTCCTTCATAGGTACACGCCGGTTACTCTTACAAATTGATAAATTAAAGATAAATTATTTTTGGGAAACAGTTATTCCGTAGGGAAAGACGATATTATGGATATTAACTGTAACATCCTTAAAAACGTCACAATTCTCTCAGCTTGCTAGGTTTTTCTAAGAAGATACGTTTGTACAATGTCTCATTCTCAGCTAACTATCGCGATAGCACGGATCGTCTAGGTAGGGCTGAAGATACCGTATCAATGCAGGCGAACAAGTTGCATCTATTATTCGATTCTCCAATTTTCCATTTTGTTATTATTTTTCAAACCAAGGGTTCCTCAAAGTTTCGATGTAGATGTCAGTCCTTTTGCGTATTTTCGTAAGATCGTTTCACATTGATCGTTTTCAATTGTTTCCTAGAATCGGGGCTCTCGACCATCTTGCGAATGTTTCTCCAGCCACATCCTAGTACGCCGTATTTGACAAGCTTAATTTTCTTTCTCCCACAGCAGTACCAACCTACCTTTTGTCAATAGGTTCACTACGGTTGTCGTCTAGATACATCGATATGAAGTTACTGACAACGAATAGTTTCAGATTGGTTCTTTTTTTATAGCCGTGTTTAAACATGTTAGATAATCTTCTCACAGATTGAGTCGAGCAAATAACGTGTGGACGAACGACTCTATCGAGCCTGCTGATGAAACACCAGTTGACATTACAATATGTCCTATAAGTAACAGAAGAAAAAACGTATTGTCTCTTCTGGCTTTATTGAGCTCTCCTAAAGGAATAAGTGACACCGTGTAGATACGCAGATATGACGCAGCGTCGCCACTAACCAGTTATTTTCGATGAAAGTCACTGACACACAAAGAAATCAAGTTGAAGTTATAGTTGGCTATAATCTGTTTTCACTGACATCATGCCATTACAATTAGATCTATTCTGTGAATTATATGTAGGAGAAGACGAAATTCCGGAACAAACAGACATCTGGTCAGATATCAGAAGTCTGATATCCGATGAAACAAGCCTATTTGGAATTCTGCGTCCTACTATCGCGGCCATTACGTCTCGGATACAATAATAACAACTATATTTCAACTGCGTACACTTCTAAAGCGTGAAGAACCATGGGAAAAGATTCGGCTCAAATACTTTAGACAAATGTATGTTACGAATATAAGGAAGGGCAAAAATACTTGTAACCACACAGCATCGTAGCGAAGATCGCCCTTATCTTTACCCAATGTTGTCGACGTTTTCAGGAGAACAAAGCTATATATGCTATAAGAAAAACTTGCCTCAAATACAGAAAAAAAATCAATTAAATTATGAATTAGCCTTAATAAAAGCCATCTCTCTCTCTCTCTCTCTCTCTCTCTCTGTGTGTGTGTGTGTGTCTGTGTGTGTGTGTATGTGTGTGTGTGTGTGTGTGTGTGTGTGTGCGTGTGTGTGTCTGTGTGTGTGTATGTGTGTGTGTGTGTGTGTGTGTGTATGTGTGCGTGTGCGTGTGTGTGTGTGTGTGTATGTGTAGGCGTGCTCGTCACATCACACATATTCTGCGTGCTATATACGTGCACTATGTATGTCGTACTCGCCCTTTATACTACGACAAGTATACAATATAACTCTGGAGGGTGCAACAACTCGAGTTGTACGCTTAGACCACTAGACCGAAATGAGACTTCGGCTTGTTGCTTAAGTTATATTTCGATGTTAGTTACAGATTTCTTCTAGTCATCATATTACTTTGGTGTTTTACGCTAGGCTATAAAGAATCAATCCATGCATCGCAGCAGGCTCGGCAACAGTCATCGACAAAACTTCGCTATCTTCGTTTACTTTTCCCCTTCGATTTGTCCGCTATAGCGAACCATAGTAGAATCCACATTGATAATGCTGCATGGTTGAGCCTGATCTGAAAACCACGCACAAATCCTAACCCATCCAGCCATGGCCTACTAAACGGGCCCGTTGAGGAAAATATATCGATGACAAAGTACAATATATTATACGGGTGCATCTCACCTGATAATTTGTCAAATCAACGTCGCCAGGATTATCATTATCAACAGATTCCACTCGCTCGTACCCGCTGAGCATAAAAAAATATACGACGTTCTCTAATAAGGTGACATCAGAATATCTTGCCCGAGTACATTTCTAAGAGTAAGCTCGTGCGGATAGTTCGTCGTTCTTGTGAGCGAACGTTCCATCTTTCTAACTGCTTCTAGGGCAGTGGCTGTCATCAAGCTGCCCTAATACCCTACGAATCGTCATGAGATGAACCTCTATATCCACAAGAAAACAGCAGTCGTTTGTCCACTGCTTTCCCTCTCGATTCTGTGATTACTACGATCCGTAATCTGCTTCTGGTTGAACATAAATTCGGCCATCTTACAAAACGACTCCGCTAAGTTTATACGCCAATACAAGTCTAGAATGACGTTATCGGCATGCGAGATAAACGTACGTTTCAGAAAATTCCTCTGAACTATCTGACTCAACCGACTCTTTCGGTCTTGTTTTTGCTATAAGATAGAAAGTGCACTTAGTCACGTCTAATCGATAACAGAACGCGAAACGCTTTTACTTCTTTTTCCACCCATGAAACCCATTTTCTTGGTGCGAAGAACATTAGTGGGATAACAGGGGACATATGACTACCGACGGCGACAGTACACTAGAGCAAAAAAAAGTCATGAAGTTAAATACCGCACTAGTAAAAAAAGCCCCAAAAGGATTAAACGGTGACAGCCTCGTAGATAAAGTCTATGTTTACGGTATCGCATAGGGCTATGTGCAGGAATCGACGTGAGCGGGTCCTAAAGGAATCAAATCGTCACAATGGCTTTATAGCGCGCGAGAATAAGTCTACTGTCGGATACAATCCTGACCGACGTCGAACGCTTCGGCTGGTTCAGAAGTGGACGTGGAAGCTGAAAGCTAAAAACGATTTTTTTGTGCTAACCGGGTGAAGATAGCTTTCGATTCGTATCACTGTAGTAGACTAAGTTCAGAATCTTTTTTCGGTAGAGGTGGATCTGAACGATCTGAAACTCACGTTGCGAGCATCATGAGCGACAGGCACGAATCATAATGAGCACGCATATAGCAGAGCAAAAGGATAAATCAAGTAAGGTAGAAAAAGTAATGTCTGCCATGTAAGTATGCAGTCTTCGCAGAGCAAACATATCTACATAGTATGGTAACCTGCCTGTTAATTAAGAAGCGCCCCCAAGTATGCAGCCCGCAAAATAGCAGTGCACATTTCGGAGGCGACTGACTACCTGTCCCCGTTCTTCCGTTTGCCTAAACAATTTTCACTCGAGCTTTTTGGCCAGCAATAGTATGCACGCATCCACGAGTGACTGCTTATATAATACTTAATATAATATAGGCCGCTATGCGACAGATTTATCTCATATACAATCTGTAAGTACCTAAAGGACACACATATATATATATATATGGCACATACTGAAAGTCGTGCTCATTCGTCGTCAGGGGTTTCTGTGCACATTGCCAAGTCGTGTCGACCGAAACTCTCTAGGCCAAAATGTCTATTCTAATTCTAGCGAAACTGAATAGCCACTTACTATTTCCATAGAGTTGTTGCTGCTGCTGCTGCTGCTGCTGCACAAGATGACTATTGTTCGTTGCGTTGCCGTTTAGCTGCGAATTGTAAGTTTGCTGCCCGCAGCCGCCATTGTTGTTGTTAACTAGCATTGATGATGGCTGACTAACAACGTCACTGTCTGCTGTCTTAGTCGTATCAACATCCCAGAAGTCGAGGTCCATTTCCCCAATGTCCGAGCAGGTTAGTGACGGAACCGGCGATACTCCGGTGTGCCCAGTGCTGCTTCCGCTGTGCTGCTGCTGCTGCTGCTGCTGCTGTTGTTGATGCAGTTGCAGATGCTGTTGTGCGCTGTTACCGGAGAGTGAGGTCACCTGCTGTGTGGACAGGTCTTTGTTGTTGTTACAGCGATTAACTGCCGTTGCCGGATTGCTGATCAGCTGTTGCTGTACGGCTACGGACGAAGCTATCCACGATACTGGCACTTCGGCAGCTCGCTTACGGGTATTTTCTCCTCCGAGCAACTTTTTACCCCCGGTATCGATCGATAGTGGCGCCACAGATGACACCAGTTGGTTACTGTTTTGGTGGATTGTTTGCAGATATTGCGGTAGCTGCTGTTGCTGCTGTTGGCTATGGTTGTGGTGATGATGTTGGGACGATAGCTTATGAATGGAGTTTTCATCAAAGTACTGCGGGATCGATTGTGGGTTCATTTTTATCATATTATCGTTTTTGGTATCGTTATTGAGGCATCCGCCAGATTCGGTGTTGCACGTATAGGTTCCAGGTCGGCGGCCAGCGTTAGACTGTTCCGAAATTGATCCTTCCGAAAACCTGCCACTGCAGCTGCTGCGATCCTCTTTTTGGTCACTGTTGATGATCTGAAGGACGGGCACCCGTGAAGAGAGCGTCGACGCAGTGCCGAAGTCCGTTTTCAGCTGCTGAGGCGACTTGGGGTGCTCCAGATTTGTTTGCTTCTTTTGATCATGCAGCCAAAGGAGAATGATAGGGTCCATAGCACCACTACATTAATTTTTATCTGTTGCTGTTACGCCAACGTGTTATTGACCTTGTGTAATCGATTTATTGATTGATCAACTTATGTGCTTGTATTCGTATACACAGCCACACTTACTAGTCAATCCGCTTCGATGTCCTTTGCCACATAGCTTCGCCTCACGATGATTATTATCGTACTGATGGGGTTTCCGTCGGTGATGCTTACTTATTAACTGCAGTTGCTCGCTCCACATCAAGGGAGAAAATCCAATAGAAATAGTTACTGCTATCCTGACTATTATTATTATAATAGAGCACGTGAATTTGTTTTTCTTGACGCCGTCCAGTTAATGGGCGACAGGCTTTCTTCATCAACGTTTATATCGCAAACGATTGGAGGTTATTGGCTTGTCTGATCTGCCCTTTCCGGTGCTGAACAATTTTATCTGCTAAGCGAACATTCTTATTACAGAACGTAAAAGAAACCTGATGTTGCATGCAGAGCAAAATTCATTTCTGCGTGCTAAAGGGACGCATACCCTGACGGATTACTTACGTCCAGCATGTTTTTCCACAGCTATTTATTCAGCCAAAGTATGCTTGTTGTTGTTTTTGCTACTGTTACTGTCGTCGTCGGTACTACCGTCGTCGCTGCACCGTTGCCGCCGCCCCCACCGCTGTCGTTGTTGTAACGGCACGTGATCTGCTTGTTTGGTCGCGTCCCAGTGTGAGTTCCTCCTAACTCTGGTCAAGGGAAAGGAGCAACGCATTTGCACCTGCTCTCGTAGACGAACACGCGCCTAAATTCTCTCAGCTGACTGCGTTCTCCAGCGCGGAACGGAGGATTCCAACCGACCAGAGGCCCAGCGACTACTGTTGACGGCTGTCGAAATAAACGCCAACTTGTGCCAACATCGAAAACTCCAAACGGGGGCAAAGGCAGACGAGCTGATTCGCGCGGTTACGTTGCAGTAAGATCAGCGGACGTTTCCATCAATCATCAAGATCAGTTTCTATCAATCTAATCCGGCGACATCTTCAATCGAACCTACACATACTTCGATTCACACTGCCACTACGATACACTGAAGCTGCTTATATAATAGCTCTACTACGATTCACAAGACAACACAGATCACAATATTGTGTGGATCATGGGCGAGCTGACTGCTGCGAAATAAATCGATTATTTTTTTGCCTATGTTCTTCACAAAATGTTTCTGTTTATTTTCGTAGCTTTCGGCGGTGTCTCTTTCGAGATTCCAATGAAGGCCAGCGAAACAGACGCGGGTTAGACGGGTGCTGCGTTTGATGGTGGCGGCCCCCGTTGCTCTCGTGCGCAGCAGCAAAGGTGGGCGGGAGCAGAACGCCGTAGCACGTTGATTTGACGCTCGCATATACTTGTGTTCTCTTATCACGGGTTCACGTACAGCGGCGACTACCTACTTTACGAGGGCAATCCGGCGATGCTAGAGTTACTCGTCGCTTAGCTACCAGCTTTTGAGAAGTTCGCTAGACAGCGCGCAACTCTCGCAAGCCGACGGGGTGGATGTTGCGCTACCTAGAACTGCTTGTATCGTTAGAGCACGCGTACGCGCGTTTAGCGATAAGCAAGAGGAAGATCTTTCTCTCTTGCGTCGCCTTCACGATGTCGATGTTGTTTTTTTCCGACGTCGTCTAGTGTTGCCGGTATCCGGCCCGGCAAAGCGGCCGATGTCTTTCTTCTTCCATTTCTTCCCGCTTCTTTTGCGACGTTCTCCAGGATCGCGTAGAGATAGCAGTGACTTTTTTGCTGTACGCCAGTGAGTGGTTACTCGCTTGCGTGCTTGTTTACTCTGCAGCGGCGGTGGTGGCGGCGGCGGCGGCAGCAGCCCATAGTCTGTTGTCCGATACTCGACGGCCTGTGCGCTTTACCTGGCTTTTGCTCTTCTGCCTTGTGCCGGCGTCTACTTCGTTCTCGCTACCGCTGTTGTTAACTGAATGGCTTAACAGTAGGCGCTCGTTGGCGACAGGGCACTCACTCGCGGCGCTGTCGCCGGTGCGAGCGGCCAGGAGTGACTGACACCGTTCAAGGTTGCGCCAACTCTCTCCCGTGCACAACACAGAATGGCCAGAACAGAGTGTTCGACCCTCTCCCGATTCCAAGGCCACCCGGTGACGCGAGCGCCATCGGCGGACGCCGGTAGCAAACTGCCTGACGACTGCACCCAGTCGGCAGTCTGGGGCGCTGACGGTGATGTTGTTCAGCTAGCAGACACGTGTACCATGGGCAAAGAACGATCTAGCCAAACTGAGCGAAATTTAACTACTGTTAAAGTGGAGACGCGAGCTACTGCAAACATTACTGCTGCCACAACTACGATTATATTCCACCCTGCGCCTTGTGGCAAAGAACCCGGCCACCACGGCGAGGAGTCATGCCGCCACGTTGACGGCGTCCGACCAGCCGTCGTATCGTAGTTGTTGTTACCACTGTAACTTACGCTGAGCGTATTGCTTCCTCGCGTCACTCCATTGCGTACCAATGAAGTACTTGTTCATTGAGTGCGCGCACATTGCAAATACCCTGTTACAGCAGCAACCAGCAGCCGTGATGGCGATCGCCGCTTCCATTGACGAGTGCCACCCACACGGAGACAAGGGGGACAGACTGGGCTGGATCGGGCATAGCACAGCAACGGATAGATAACGTAAAATGACTTTTCTCGTTAGAGAGAAGGCTGTGGCTGAAGGGAAGGGACAATGAAAAATAATGCAATGGGACACCAACATTACGCTCACGAGGATTAAGAAGTCCACGGAATAGGCAAATAAAGACCAACAGGCGGTCAGATAAACATTGGCAACACTTGTAGAACAAAAATAGGTCGTACACTGAATGACGCCCAGAACTGATTGAGCTGGGTGAGCACACCGCCACGGGCAAGACAAAACGACAGATGGAGTTCCCCGACCACAAAATGAGAGAAAGCTTCTGAGTTGCTTGAACAATATGAAAGTATGGCTATTTCAGGGGCCAGACTTGGACGGCCGATTCAAACGTTATAATCGCAAGGGCCAAATAGAAGAGAAAACGATGTTCAAATAGCTGATTCACGTGATCTGGCAAATCGTGATCCACGCATAGCTACTTAACGCATTGGCAATAAGGGATGTAACAATTTCACAGCAGCTTCATTCGACGCCACACAGTATTGTGGCCGTCAACCGGCACCCACCTTAGCGAGTGTCTCTAAGCGCGTAAAGATGTTACACGGAAATCTCTGACTTGAGTTCGATGTAACCTGCTAATTTACTGGCTCTCCCTAAACAACACGTCATCATCTAGCAGTATTTTTGCGCCAGTCTATCGGATGTTGTTCAGGACGCTACCCAGGGCAACTGTTATCCTCCACATTACGAGATGAAATGGCAAACGTCAGTATAGATAGGCTAGCAATATAATTAGATCATACAACTTGTTAAAGACCTTTTTGAGGCTTTTCAGATGACCCGATCAGCTCTTGTTTCTTAATTGCGCGCAGCTACGATAGCCTATGTGCCAATTTCGAACGGAGAGAACCACTCTAACAATAATATACGTAGTAATAATAAATAAATATATGTAGCTGAGTTTTAACCTCTCATTCAATTGCAACTAGCGAAAGCAAAGTCGTAAGGCTATATAAAGACCTTAGAGGGCTTTTTCCTTTTTTAAATTATGCTGTGTTATAGTTGCAGGGTTTAGTGCCTGAATAAATATCTGCATGCATTGCACGATGCTCTGACAAAAAAAATACATCAATAAACGTGTGTATTTAGAAATCCGTCGGTCGCATAGATCACTCTATGAAATTTTATACAATTTCTACGCGATTTTCGCACCACACAGATATATATTGCATGAGAAGTAAAAACAGTTCGACTGTCGATGCATCTACTTGTCAAGATATTTTTAGGGGTTTAGTAACTAGACTTAAAGGGCATCCCATACAAAATAGTAGAAGGGAGTTTACGTGGTAATTTATATAAAGAGTGCGACTACTTATGTGCATTGCAAGTTGGGCCTCTTGTGGATCGTTTGATTTGTACGCAAAACTTGTGAGTTGTTAACTTCTATTATCTTGAGCTAGACAAGAATGCCGACAGAGATATCTCTAATGCTTTTTAACATTTACCAATTGCCAAGAAATGATGAATCTCGGATCAGTCGTATTTCGTCCTGATAATCTGACGACTCAGGGCAAAGTTTCGCTTCTCTCACCAAATGGAAAATCCTGAGGCGGTTTCATCTCGTGAGAGAGAGATCGTGAATTACGCTGCGTTGATCTACCGATCACCATTGTAAACGAACCCGCGAAAGCGGTCATTGAAGCCTTATTATTTCGAAATTAGTGTACTTACATATTTTGTAGCTCTGTAAGCATGAGAATGGTAGAAGACAGATTTCTAGATGGCGGCTACGTGACCTTTGCTAGTCAATATCAATTAACATAACTAAAGCGACGTTTGTTCATTCAATACGACGCTCTTCTCTAGACAAACGCCTACACATAAAACAGATCGCAAGTAAATAAATAAGCTGACGGGTCAGTGCCAAATTCACCCGGAGCGGACGTTTGACGTAGCGTAGGATGAATAAGATCGACGTTACAGCTCAATTTTATGAGTGTTTGCCTCTTCGCACTAAATAGAATTTACTTCGGAGAGAAACAGCCGAAATCCGTCGAACGCTAACCGCGATGGATACCTATCTATATATCGAATATATTAGCAGAAAAACAATTCGTCCCGTCCGTGGGTAAACCTGTCTAACGAAGAAACCTAGCTTTTTTGATGATTGGAACCAACCAGTCGAAAACCAGGTTCCTTTTGTAGAAGTTGCCCACATTAACGAAGGGCATCTTTGAACGCATCATAGTCGAACGTGTAGTGTGTTCGACATATCGTACACTGTGGTAGTATCCTTCGCCGTAAATTCAATACTAACGTTTGAAGATGCCATAGATAGCGACGTTTCTGAAAGAGCCAAAATGGCAGTCGACACTGCAAAAACGACTATAAGGAAATTTTACCAAGAGGTAGCCATTGCATGCTATAAGCTGAGCTTGCATGAGTTACATTTAGTGCAGACAATGATGCTGACGGGTCGTTTCACGTACATGCTAATCAAACCGGTAGACATGGAAATAAATAATTTTTCGAATAATCCAAGGAAGGACATATGGGGAACATTGACCTTAGCAGTCGTCCGGAAGACGGAGCCATTCGTCACTATACTACTGGGACTAAAAACGTCACTAACTTTAATTTTGAAACGTGGTCAGGGGAAGTATGTACGCTAAAGAAAACTAGAAGCGTATTTGTCGCTGTAAATACATTTTTCACGCTATAAAGCTAGCGGTCTCGCACTGAAGGGAGCTTCATAGAACCAATTAGATATTTCCCAGCCTGAATCTAAGTACAAGTTGTGACTTTAACGACACACACAAGCCAATATAATCGACGACAAGCCAAGTTCATTTGAAGAATATTAGTGATTGGCACCTGAGGAGAAGCCTTTATCGTTGTCCATATCGTTGCTGCCTCATTGCCCGTCTCGCTCAGATTAAGTCAACAAGGAACGAGCATTGGAAAGCCTTCTTTTTTAACAGTTGAAAAAGTATCATTAGGACGCGAGCCTATCTTCACTGAAACAAATACGAAAGCTTAATAATTAGATAGATTTTCAATGATATATCGTGAGCATTTAAGTACAGTATACGCGAAGATTCGGAAGGAAGCTCACCAATGTCCCAAAGCGGTTTCTAAATTCGTTAAGACATTATAAATTAGATTGGAGTGTTGTACTCGCTGCGAACGATATGAAACTTAATGAAAACTTAAGAATAGCTCTTTATGCGTTGCCGATTACTACATTCTATACCACCATTTTAGGTGTTCATTTAATTGACGATTTAAAGTTCTGGTGCCCTTCGGCCTGCTCTGGATAACAATCCACTCTTCGTAGATTGTTAGAAACTAATTACACAATCGAATCTGGCTATTGAAAAGAAGGAAGAAACATCCGAAGAAGCATCGCGCTTTCACCTATTATGTATAATATGCAGTGTTGACGACGCAGTTCGGAGACGATTCAACCGAACAGAATAATTAAAATAGTTAATATAAATAAAATTCGAAACATTAAAAAGCGGACAGTGATTATAAACATCGCCGGCAAACGTGGACGAAAAACCATCGGTCTTTCAAGGCATGATGCCTCCTATAGGGAACCTACTATAGGGAAATGATCGTCTGCAACAAAAGTTACCTTCAAAAGGGAGCCGATTCAGTGTGCTATTATGCGTTTCCCTGGGAAAGAAGTAATAGGACGTGCACGTTTGGACTTGGAAGTGACGAATATCAGTTCTTGCCCAATCAAAGCCATCCTCAATTGTATCCCACGCCGTATCGCACGACGAGGCACCATATTTGTATTTCCTCACTATCAACCCCCTATACTTTATCTCGCCGAATGTTAGTTAAGGAAGTAAATAGGTTTCGTTATGGTCGAGAGTTCCATTTCGACTAGAAGCCTTTTTTGTGTTTTTAGAGAGTTTTTAAAGTGGATAAACTGCAACTATATTGTACGACCAAGTTTTATTTGGACAAGTTTTGTTTTTTCGTCAACTTAAAACGGAACGAAAGGATTAATAAATAGATTTATTTATTGGTATAAGGAACAGGAAATAAGGTATCACAATAGTCAATACAGGAAAATTAAAAAGGCAAATTTAATACTCATTTTAGTCATCAAGACTAATAAATGTCGTAATAAGTTTGGCGCGGTTCTTCGAACGGTCTCCAGCTGAAAAATCCAGGAATAGCTAATTTAGGCCTCCCCGTGCAAATTATAGGCACAGTCACGTTTTTTTTTCTATGAAAAGAAAAAAAGCCCCGAAAAATTTCATGAACTACTTTAAGAATACCCAGCTATTGATCAGCAAAGCCGGTCAGTTCACGAGTCATATTTGCTGAATACTGCCATTGAAAA